TTGACTCATTAACATTGAATTCACAGTCAACAGCACTGTAACTCATGCCTAAACAAAGCCTATCTAACACGTATATTTTCTCTCTAAGGCAAATCACAGCCTGCTTGCACTTAAGAATGCTAGAACTTTAGCACTGTGCTCGGAGGCCATTTTTTAAATTGACAAACTACTTGTTGAGCAGTTTTGGGTTCACAGCAAAATTAAGCAGAAAGTACAGAGAGTTCCATATACCGCTGTCCCCACAAATGCATAACCTCCTTGGGAGCCATTCTAAACAACAAAATCACCAATAAAAATATAAAAAAATGTAGCACCAAATAAACGGTGAAAAGGACACTCGTTTACAGTTTGAGAGGTGAAACAAAAAGGCCACGTGTCACCTTCTTCCACCTCAGCTAGGCTTTGCCACTGTGCATGGCTGGGGTTGAATGCAAAAGCACCACAAGAATTGATTGGGGTTACAAATAAATTTCAGGGAGTAGGCAAATTCACAGATCGGAATCTGTACATAGTGAGGATTGACTGTACTCTTTTAATTACAGTAGCTTTATAGAATGCTACTATGTTCTTACATCTAGAAGAGCAAGTGCCTCATTATTTTTTCTTTTTCAAGAATTTATTTTCTTAAAGTTCAATAATAGACAACCCAATTAAAAATGGGCAAAAGATTTGAATAGACATTTCTCCAAGAAGGATAGGCAGATGACAGGAACGTAAAATATTGCAGCTGCTTTGGAAAACAGTTTGGCAGTTCCTCAGAAAAGTAAACACAGAGTTACCAAATGACCTAGTCATTCCACTCCTAGGTATGTACACAAAAGAATTGAAAACACATGTCCACACAAACACTTGTATGCAAATATTCATAGGAGCGTTGTCCATAATAGCCCCAAAGTAGAAATGTCCAGCAACATATGAATGAATAAACAAAACGTAGTATATCCACGTAACAGAATATTACTTGGCAATAGAAAGGAAAGTCAACTGATATGCACTGTAACATGGATGAGCCTTGAAAACATTAGGCTAAATTAAAGAAGCCAGACACAAATGACCGTATATTGCGCAATTCCGTTTATTTGAAATACCAGAATAGGCAAATCCATGGAGACTGAAAGATTAGTGGTTGCTTAGGGCTGGCAGGAGAGGGGTTAGAATGGGAAAAGTGTCTAATAGGTATAGGGTTTCTTTTTAGGGTGATGAAAATGTTTTAAAATTGGATAATAGCGATAGTTACTACAACTCTGTGAATATACTAAAAGCCACTGAATTACGGAGTTTATTTTTTTAAAGATTTATTGATTTGAGAGCATGCATGAGTGGGGGGGAGGTGTGAAGGGAAAGGGAGAATCTCAAGCACACTCCCCGTTGAGCACGGAGCCTGTCTCACGGCTTGATCCCAGGACCCTGAGATCATGACCTGAGCCGAAATCAAGAGTCAGCCGCTTAACCGACTGAGCCACCCAGGTGCCCCTGAATTGTACACTTTAAATGAATGAATTTTGTGATCTAGGAATTAAATCTCAGTAAAGCTGAGGTTTTTTGTTAATGTTTTATCTACACAGAGAAAGCAGAATAATGCCCTTTCCCTCCAGTCCTTCCCTCTTCACGCCCAGCATGGAGAGAGCTCGAGCCGTCCAGTGACTCGTGAGCAGTCAGGGGTGAGGGTCCTCAGGTCCACCATCTGCGCTGGGCCTGTGACATAGGCTCTTACTGTATTCTCCGGTGGTATCTGGGCCCAAGGGGGGGTGTCCTCCATAGATTTGAGGCAGCGACCAGACTTTGTAAGTCATTTGTATAACCAAGGACACCTCTGGCCCTGAAATTATTTCCAGAGTTAATTTGGGCAGGGGATGGATTATTGCCTGTTGCTGTTCTCACACATTTACTCTTCTAGATAAACTTTAGAATGAGATTGTCACAGCCCCACCCCACCCCTACCTTCACCAGTAAGAACGCTGATGGGAGACTATCCAAGTTCTGCTAAATAGATCTTTGGGTAGACTTGGCCTCTTTTTAATATTTAGTCTTCCCATCCAGGATCACGGTATGATATGTTTATTTATTCAGGTCTTATTTTATGTCCTCCAGTCAAATTCTATAGTTTTACCTTTCTTGTGAAGCTTACTGCTAGTAATGAGTGAGGCCATTTTCCATTTCAGCTTTGCAATGACTGTAGCTAGGAGAGGAAGAGGTAATTGATGTTCATGTGTCTAGATGTGTATGCCTTACATTCTGCCACCTTATTAAATCCTCTTTGTAGTACTCTAGTCTCTCTTTTTCTTTCCTGATTTTTCCTTCCTGGGGTTTTCTTCCTCCGCCTGCTTTTCAGGGTATCTCTACCTGGAAATCCCAGGAGTGTCTTAAGCTCAGAATAAAACTGAAATTCAATAAGTCACAGCTAAAATGATCTCTCTGTGCTCTTAGGTTCAGAACTGCTCACTGCTAGCCCCTAGCCCTTAAAGCACCTTTGTATACATTAAGATGCCCCTTTCTCCTGACACTTGACTCTTACCTCCTGGAGAAATTGCCATAATTAACTGACTCAGTTGGAATAGGACACATGCCTGCAGGAACACGTCATGATCAGTCTGCAGGTCTCCAGCATCTCCTATCTCCGGGCCCCCTTAGGTGAGGCGTGCTTGGGCAATCTCAGCACACAGCATTCTTTAGATCTGTAGGTTGTGCCATCACTGCCTCAGTTTACCTCTCATTATATGTCACCTCTCATCACGGTACAACCTCCACCCCCCAAAAAAGGACAAAAACAAAGTACAACCCAGTCTTCCTCTTCCCAGCCTCTCTCTTCTCGGACACTCTAGTCACAGCCCAGAATAACCTTCCTAAAGCATTGGAAACCACTACCCAAAGGCCTTTGCTGGTTTCTTGTTTTGCTCAGAGTCAGAAGTGCTTCACGCCCTGGAAGCCCTCATCACAGCCATCCTACTTTTCGTTTCTACTGCCACCCATGGAGATAGAGCTGTCCCACTGTCCCACTGTGCTCTTCCCACACACTCTGGTGCCTTGGTTACTGCTGTAGCCCCTCACTCTCCGCTTGCTCATCTGTAATGGGAGAAGAGCACTGCCTCCTCGATAATCATATAGTAAAAAGTAAATGATAGAGCATGTGAACATGACCAGCCCAGGGCCTGGCATTTAGCACGTCGATGTCCTTTCCCCTTCCTTCCTTAGAACTCCCTCACAAGGACTTTGGAAACTGAAATACTATATAATTGTAACATACTGTTATGATTACTTATGCCTCATTGTATGTCCATTACCCAAAGTGCTTGTATCTGGGCAAGAATTCATTGTATTTGACCTCCAATTAGGAACATTTGAAAATATCTCAGAAGAGGGGTGCCTGGGTGGCTCAGTCGGTTAGGCGTCCGACTCTCAATTTTGGCTCAGGCCATGATCTCAGGGTCATGAGATTGAGCCCTGCATCGGGTTCTGTGCTGGGCATGGAGCCTGCTTAAGATTCTTTCTCTCTTCCTCTGCCCCCACCTCCCATTCATAATCTCTCTCTCTCTCCCCCTCTATCTCAAAAAAAAAAAATCCCAGAAGAAAAAAGCGTAACTTTGCAGACTCGGTGTGCCACCTGAAACAGGTGCCACAGGAGGGTTCCTGGCTGTCCCTGGAGGCCCCTGGCAGGATAAGGGGGCAGCAGAGGGTCCCCTGGCTGGCAGTCTGCCCACAACTGAGGCACGTGAGGAGGGGAGGTGGCAGCTGCCTCAAGGAAACAGGTTCTGTCTGTAAGAGATGGAGGGTGTTTGGAGGGTGCTCAGGAGACAAGCTAAGAACAAATGCAGTCCTTCCCTGGTGGGGATTTCCTCCGCGCCACTACTGTTGCCTTAAGAAAACAAGGAAAGGGCACTTGCTGTCGACTGCAGCAAATGTTTTGTGGTGAGGAGTCAGTTTCCAAGTGTGTTGATTGGTTCAGAGAATTGACTTAATTTCAGCCACATTTGGTGGTCTGTTTGTCTTTTGTTCTAGGCTTTCTCCCGATTTGGTCTCCACTGGGTTTTAATCAGAAACCATCTGTGAAAATTTTGGATCCAAATTAGAGTTTATCATAAGCACATATCTCAGAGAACACAGAGGAAACCCAGAGTGGAACAGAAAGCAAACAAGAAATAATGCAATAACATTAGAAACAGAATGGTGTCAGAGGGAAGGAACAGAGGGAAACTGAGAAGGGCTGCATCCAGAGAGCGAGCCAACTCTTCAGCAGAGGACCTGCGAGAGAAGGGGGATGGCGAGGCAACTAGCACTCACATCAGGGACTGGTCGGCCATTCTTCCCTTGCTGACCAACCTGCAGCCCTGGGGGCTAGACACCATGGTTAGTGGTCCCTACCCACTTCTGAGCTGGGACAGAGCACTGTCGATTTATTTATTTATTTGGGAGAGAGAGAGCCAAAAGGGGGGTGCAGGGGGGCAGGAGCAGAGCAAGAGAGAATATCTCAGGCAGACTCCCTGCTGAGCGCAGAGCCCATCTGGGCCTGATCCCCTGACCCCGAGATCATGATCTGAGCCAAAACCAAGAGTCCCAAGCTTAACCAACTGTGCCACCCAGGTGCCCCACAGAGCACTTAGTGGGCACATACAATTCACTTTACCCCAGAGATGGGCTCATGAGAAGTCCTATCTCTTCTCCATCTTTTCTCACTCCTCTTTCCCAGAGTCATCCTGGCCTCCACTTGGAGACGACACACAGTGGGGCTCATCACTGATGGTGGGACCACCCTTTCTGCCTGCCCCTCCCCCATGTGCTGTAGACTTTCAGACATTTGGGTCACGGGTTAGAAAACAGTGGGACAGGGGTGCCTGGGTGGCTCAGTCCGTTGGGCGTCTGCCTTCGGCTCAGGTCATGATCCTGGGGTCTTGGGATCGAGCCCCACATCCGGCTCCCTGCCCAGCGGAGAGCCTGCTTCTCCCTTTCCCTCTGCCTGCCGCTCTGCCTACTTGTGCTCTCTCTCTGTCAAGTGAATAAATAAAATCTTTATAAAAAAAAAAAAAGAAAACAGTGGGACAGCTCTATCTCCATCCCCACGTTGCTGAATATCTTATGCAACTGGTTGACGTAGTTGATTTGACTTAGGAGATACGTATACATATTAAAAAATATTTTCCATGAAGTGTAGAAGAATATACTGAAGAACATACCTCTCCTGCCCACCCCTCTCCCCTGTGCCATCTACACCCTCCTCAGAGGCTACTTATTTCATGTGTACCTTTTCGGAGGTCACCAGTGCTGATCATCGTTAGCTTTTAAAAATCATTGTGTCTTTCCTTTTTACTCTCATTGCTGAGGCTGAGGGTTTACCCGCTGTGTTCTGCATCTGCCTTCTCCATATCCCTTCCTCTCACAGACTTTGACCCTTGGTGGACAAACAACTGTGAGCAGAATGAGTCAGACTCCATCCCTGCCAACTGCACTGGCTGTGCCCAGAAATTACCCCTCAAGGTAATGCTCCTGGAAGATACCCCGAAGAAATTTGAGAGACTCCATCCTCTGGTGGTCAAGGTGAGCAAGAAGCCTGATTCTCCCACTGATAGGTTATCTGTTTAATGGCTCACAAGCGTCAGGCTCTGTGACATGCCTGAGAAGGAATCCTGTGTTGGTTTTTGTCTTGCTTTTGTTTTCTGCCTTGCCAAGACGGGACAGCTCTTGTTGTCAGAGGAGCTTCAGCGTTTCCTGTGCCAGTACCCTGAGGTAACGGAAGGTTTCAGCGAAGCGTTTTTCAACAAGTGGTGGCGCTGCTTTCCCGAACGGTGGTTCCCATTTCCTTATCCGTGGTGAGTGTGGAAGAGGGCACTTAGCCTGCATGTGGTAGAAACCGGGCAGACCAAGTGTGAGAACAATACTAGCTACCACTGAGACCCTCCCCTGCCTCGCACTGGGTAGGCACTCTTCAAGTCAAATGATAGAACCTCACTGTTGAAAAACCAGTGATGAGTCCAAGAGGTGTCTCAAGAGGGCTGTCACCATAAGTACACACTGAGATTGCCTGATAGCATCATAATTTATTTCTGAGGACATGTTTAACATTTGTGTTTGTGCATCCTGAGTGTTGAGGGCTAAAGAGAAAGCATGAAGAATAGAAGGGAAACTTCATTTCCTGGCACTTGTTTGTGCCAGGCTGTGTGCCTTAGTGGTTAGTGTCTGTTCCTCACTGGTGGTGCTCATAATAGCCGTAGGAAGTAGGAATTATCACTGTCATTTTTTAGATCAGAAAAGTGGGAATCAGAGAGGTTAAGTACCTTGCTTAAGGTCACCGAGCCAGGATTGAAACCTAGGTCTGTCTCCCTCTTCCTCCCTGTGTCCTGTAGAAGACATGGTCAGGGCGCGTGTGGCCCAGTCGGTTAAGCGTCCAACTCTTGATTTTGGCTCAGGTTGTGATCTCAGGGTCATGAGATTGAGCCTCCCATCAGGTTCTGTGTTCATCAGGGAGTCTGCTCTTCTCCCTCTGCCCCTCCCCCGGTCACGCTCACTCTCTCTAAAAAAAATAAAAAGAAAACATGGTCCATTTTTGGGGTGAAGGTTGCTCTCCAGAAAAAAAGAAGGAAAGCCAGTTTCCTTCTAGAACCATTCCAAAAGAGAATTAAAATTGCTTTTTTGGTCTTTTTGTTAGATAATTTCTCAATGCTTCTGTCTTTTTTAAAATTTGCCATTTATTTGCCTGATCACATACTCTGGTTTAACTAGTCAGGCTTCCCATTGCATGCCATACCACCTTAGAAGAAAGTTCATGATTTTTGCCTCCTCCTCCTCCCTTCTGTTCTCCCGCCTGGTCTGCTGTTAGTTACTTCAGTCTCTTTTCCAAGATAGAATGAATGGACCATTTCTTTCCTTCCTCTATATGTTGTTTTAGCTGGATTTTATAAACACCCCACCCACATGTACAAATTATTGGCTGTGGAGTTATGTGTGTACGTGTGCATGTCACAATTAATTGATTTGGCATGACTGTTATTCATTAATCTAATACTTAAGATACTGTCCTGATATTTTTCCCTGTTTACCCACCGCCCACAGTTTTCCCACCCTTGCTTAGCTCTCTGTTAGTCATGGAGATAGAAGCTGGCTTGTCCAGCTGAATTGCTTTTGTCTCTTTCAAACTTTTACAGGAGAAGACCTCTAAACAGAGCACACATTTTACATGAGCTTTTTCCTGTTTTCACCTACCTGCCATTTCCAAAAGATGCCTCTTTAAAAAAGTGCTTCCTTCTTCAACCGGAACCTATTGTGGGTAGTAAGGTAGGACATTTTGAGAGGACTTGGGTCTAGAATTCTCCTCTTTTGGCGCCTGGGCTGATGTCATAATCCCTTCCTTCCCTGCATGTCAACTCAGAAGGTAAATTGAAGGGACACCCACATAATCTACAGTTCTCTCCACCTGTTGCTAGCCAGGAGACCTGCAGTGGCCCACCCTTCCACAAAGGCATGCTTACAGAAAGTCTCGTTACCTTGCAGCTCTGTTTCCTGCCCTTGACACCTGAGGTCAAGCTACTTTTCTACATTAGGAAGTAAAATCCTGAAATTTAAAGGGACCCAAGGATGCAGTTAGTCTGACTTCCCCACCTCAAAGTAGACAGCAGGCAAGCTATAAATGAGCAGCCCATATTACTCATTTTGTGGATAGGGCCACTGAGCTCCAGAGAGAGTGAATGATTTGCCCAAGGACACAGCAAGTTAATAGGAGGGCTTTTCACCCTGCCACCAACCCCCATTCCAGGTTACCTTTCCCCAGAAATAAACAAATGAGAAACTTCAGGTGGAGAACTGGAAAAGCAAAAAGCTTGAGAGGGTTGGGGATTAAAGGGTGGCCGGGATGTGCCTGAGGCAGGCAGACCAGTTTGGATAGCAACACTTAGTCCACGGCCAAGTACCCAGAGCCCCCATTTACCTCTCTGGGGCCAGTGGACTGAGTCAAGCTGTTCTATGTTGTGTCTTTTTACTTTTTTCTCTGAATTGCTCTCCCGTTGAGTCTCATTCCTGAGGAAGGTTTTTGAGTTTAGATTGGTTTGGAAGAATTACTAGGATGAAATTTCCCAAACTGTGACCCTTACCAACCTCGGGTTGTGTTTTCAACCTCCCAATACTATTGTTTGGCTCCAAATTTGCTGAATCGTGGTAAAGGAATTTCAAAGCCTATAAAAAACAATCATTTTGTCTAGAAGTAAGAACTTCTGTCTGCCAGCAGTAGGGTGGAGGTGCTGGGCTCTTGCCTCAGATTTTAAAGAAGTTTATTCTGCTGTCCCCGTCTAGAACTCAGGGCCCTGGTATGATTTCATCTTCATAATGATGATATAATTCTGGGCGAGAGCTTTTATCTTTATCTTGGTTTTCCCACTTGAATCTGAAGTTAATTTCACCAGTCTGCTTAACAGGAACACCGAGGATCCCAGCCAGAAGGTAAATACTAAGTTACTCAGACGCCTATCAGAGTCATCTTGTGGTTCTCAAGCATGTTTTGGGAAGGGGAGTGATCCAAATAGGCAAACATCCTGAGAATCTGGTTTCTTAGAGCATCTGCTCCCCGCCCTGGCCCAGGCTCTCCTTTCTCGACAGCCTCGTTACTCCACCCTGTTGTCCACATCCCTGGGCCCTAGAGCCCGGTAAAGTCATATGTCTGTGGGGCAGCCTTGGGATAGAAAATAAGCAGTGGGGATCCGATTGTAAGAGGCACTGGGGAAAGAGGTGAGGGGCTGGCTGCCAGCCCCACATCACCCAGTGCACAGGGTCGCCTGGGGCTGGCCTGCTCCATCCCGTTGTCTGTTTCTTCCCCTCCTGGGGGTAGAGGCACATGGTCCCACCCCCTCTCAGGCCTGGATGAAAAAGAGCTACATCCACTGGGTTTTGGTGTCCTGGGATTTCTTTAAGACTGCAGGTGTCAGGGCCTCTGCCAGTCAGTCATAAGCCACTAGTCCTCCTTAGTCCTCCTTCTGTCACGACACTGGCAGTTGAATGGCTCTAGTGTTGCCGTGGAAACAGCATCCTGGCCAGGAGCTGTGGGAGCAACAGAGAGACCAGGGTTGGGGACAGGAGAAGATAGGGCCCAGACCAAAGCTCTGGAGGGACCCAGTGCTCTGGAGGGCAAACCAGGACGTGGCCCGGGGAGCTGGCCTTCAGACCCTTGTGTTATGTGGGCATAGAAAGGCTTTTCCTGGAGGAGACAGGGAGGAGAGGCCCTAAAGGTTTTCTCTCACCATCTAGGTTGGAAGAAAAGCCTGAGCAAGAACAGCCCGGCCTCTCCCTTTGTCCCTACTCCCTGCCCCCCCCAAGACCAGGGTTCGCAGCGGACCTGGCACAGAGCGGGTTGCACTCTGTGCGTCGGTGGCGGTAGTCTGCCCTCCCAAGTGCAGTCGCTACTGTGGGGGCGCAGAGCCTGGCTGCCTTCTTAGGGTTCGAAGTCTAAGGCCATTCTCACTGTCATTAGTTTTTCATCAGTAGTGTGATATATCTGTTCACCCAGGTCTTGCCCAGAAGTGTGAACTTGAACTTCCTGCTGTTCAATTCTCCTCCAAACCCTGGCAGCAAGAAGTACTGTTCCATGGAACATTGCCCAAAGGAAATGCAGGCCATCTATTTCTCTGAAAAGTCTGGATCCAGCCAGACCCTTGGAAGATCATATACTTAGACCACTATGTGTTGGCCTCTCCTAGACGTCTGTTAAATTGTACGTAGATGATTTACCTTCAGCCTCCTTTGGAGCTGTGGCTAGAAATAGCCGTGAATTATGAAGCTCGTGCTAGATCTGTGTTAGGGCTGGGGCTGAGGAAGTCTCCCACTAAATCACAGTGTCTCTTTAGGAGAGCCCACAGAGAGATCTCAGTACCAGGAGATAGGGACACTGAGTCCCTGGTCTCAGTACCAGGAGATGCCAGGTTTAGGAGAAACTAGTTGGTTTTTGTCCTTTGGGCATAATTGTGAATTGTGTCATTGGTTCTCTTTTCCCTTTCGCTTAGGCTGCTAGAAAAGTCAGAGCCATATATATATTTTTGTATGTTCATCTCCCCTGGCACTGGTTTTTATTTTGTTTCCCTTTCCTTCTCCCTTGTTTTTTTTCCTCCAGATGCATAGGATGCATGACCTGTTTATCGTTGGCAGCGGTGAGGCCGTGTTGCAGCTCATCCCCCCCGCCCAGTGCCAAAGACACTGCCAGTCGCTGGCGACACCGCTAGAGCCAGGGGACATTGGTAGGTGGGGCCCCGGGGGCAAGGTCAGCCGCAGGAGCTGTGTAGTTTTCAACTCAGAAACGATTGTGAGAATTAAATACTGTCTTCACAAAGTTTCAATTAAGTAGAGTCAAAAATAGGCTTCTTTTATGGGCAGAGTCAATATTTATGCTTAGGTGGAACAATATGTTAAGGAGGAAACATAGCACAGAGAAATGCTTCCTTGTATAGACATTTAGAATGCGTGATGTGTCCATTGGTCTTAAAAGTTTCCAGTTAGAAGGCATTATGGGAAATGCTTAGAGCCATCCTTTATTTTTCAGATGAGGAGATTGAGACCCAGAGACGAGAGGTGACCATCCCAAGTTCCCATCAGCTAGGCAAAGCATTAAGCTTTACGTGTCCACTGCAACAGAGTCAGGCCGGGGTGGTACAGTTCTAGATTCGAGGAAATGCTTTTTCTGCCTGTTTTGCTCATAAAACAGCGCAAGCAGTATGCAAGGGCAACAGCCCCGTGGGGAAGTATTACCTTCCGTGTGGGTCCCACAGCCGGGGGCCCGCCCCATAGTCATGACTCACCCTTGGCTCCATGATATCCCAACTGTGGCCTGTTCTGTGCATTATAGTCTAAAAGCCTATTCCAAAAAAGCAGGTTTGAATCAACTGCTGTCCGTAGCAATCAGTTTGACAGTAGAGTTTTCTTGGCAGAAGCAAATACCAAGTGTTACTATTGCCCTCTGTGTTTCTTCTGCCTCACGAAGCCTAGGGGAAGCCTAGCGCCCCTGACAGAGCCCAGGCTGATCTTCCCAACTGATTTCTTTTAATTTTACCTCTTCAGAAGATCCTGGTCGCTGGAAACCTTTCCCCTCATTTGGAAGTAGGGTCCGGACTGCGAACTCTGACAAGCTTTAATCCACATTACATAATTTTTTTCAGTTTAGAAATGAAAATAATGCACAAATTAAGCATTAACTGATAATGGAGCACAGCTGGCCTGGCCCTTGGGAATTACTGCAAAAAAGAGGATTTTTGTGTAGAAATAGTTCTGAAGCTATTTTCCTGTAGTGGAGTGACCCTTCCATAAGGCAGGACTATTGCACGAGTCTGTGTGGCATTTGGGGTTGAGTGTATAGTGATGCTTGAAATAGTTTCTGTCTTCTGTTCTACAAATGCCTGACAGTTCAGACAACTGCAGAAACACCTCAGTTATCCAAAGTTTAGGTTTCTGGATCCCACAGACATCTAGAATGCCAATTATAGAATTAAGGGGAGTAAATGGATGACTGGCAGTGATCAAAGGAGATTTGAGCATCAAAGCCTGGTGGGAATAGTGCAGAAAGCCTTAGATCCAAAGCATGATGATCACCTGCCATGCTCTGACTGGCTGGTTTGCTGACCAGAAGGAAAGGAGGCCTGTGGGCGGCAGTGTCCGTGAAAGGCCAGCCACAGGACAGTGATGTGGGGAAGGATGGGGGCCTGACTAGAACAAGAGGAAGAGGGCAGGTCTGGGAGAAGAACGGGGTGGCGGGGTTGGGGAGGACAGCGGGCTCCTGAAGCAGTGGCAGAAACAGAAGCCGTGGCTGCGGCTGCCACAGTTAAAGACGAGGACCAGGAGGACGTCTGCCTTCTTCGGCTCAGGTCATGATCTCGGGGTCCTGGGGTTGAGTCCTACATCGGGCTCCCTGCTCAGCGGGGAGTCTGCTTCTCCCTCTGCCCCTCCCCCCATCATGTTCTCTCTCTCTCTCTCTCTCTCTCTCTCAATAAATAAAGTCTTTAAAAATAAATAAATAAAGACAAGGACAGGAAGGCAGACCCTGACAGCAAAGGAGGATAATTCAGGGCTGCTTGTAGGACAGGTGGCAGCTCCAGCACCTCAGGGACCCTTAAGAATCACGCTGTGACAAGCAGGCTCTGTGGTTTTTGACAAAATAACATTGTCCTCTGAAGGCCAAGGGGAAGGGGACAGGGACCCAGATCACCAGAAAACCCGTGGTGAGAGGCATTTTCAAGAACGTTGTAGGGGTCAGGCCTCGGAGGCTGACGCTGGTGAGCCCACACGTGTGCCATGATTGAAGAGTCACTGCCCAGAGTGACCTTTCTTGAGTCACCAAGTAGAGGTTAAATTCTGTTCAGTGCTCTCAGTTTAAAGAAAGGTAAGGTACATCATACTCCAGAGAATTTTCCATCAGGAGATTATTAAAGTGTTCAAGTTTTTAAAGCTTTTACGTTTACACCACTTGTAATATAGGTCAGTGTTTCCTTAACCGTTCCTCAGATCACTGATGACCCTTGGGGATGGGAACAGGAGCCCCTTAGAAAGGCCCTTGGCAAATATGGCTGTTGGGTCAGTTGATTTTGTGAACTGCCTGTCTTGTCAATATATAGTGCACATTAGTGTACCGAAGGCTCCAGAAGCCTTGGTGGAACCTAGTGTTTCTCAGACTTCCTTGACCACGGAACCCATTTTCCTGGGACTGTCTTGCGGGATGCTGCTGTTTGCAGAACATGATTTAGGACATGTTGGTTTGAGCTAATCGGGATGTTCTATAATGAGATGGTATTAGAGATCACATTAGGGGAATTGGATAGGGGGGTCCTACTCCCCCTCGGAACTTGTCCTGTCTTCTTGCTGATAAAGATGACACGGGCCTGAGAATTGATGCCCAGCTCCAGCCTCATCTGGAGCATCCTGCCTTTGTACACCTGTTGAACTGGGTCCTCGTTCCCCAGGCTAGTGGTGGTAATGAGGCGCTTTGGTTCACAGTGGCTCCTGCTGGATGTCAGGTTACACAGAAGCCTGAGAACTGGGGCTGTTTATGAGAGGCAGACCTGCCTTGTTCCTGCCCACAGGTGTGCCCCGTCCCTGACATTCACCTGCTGTCCTGTTGCTCTTTCCCTTCAAGGCTATGCCAGCGCCGCCCACTGGAAGGTCTACGTGATAGCCAGAGGGGTCCAGCCTTTGGTCGTCTGTGATGGGACCACCCTCTCAGAACTATAGGAAACAAGAACTGTACAGAGGAACAACTTAGAGAGCTGAAGACCAGACTGAAAGGGGAGAAATAAAAACAATGAACCGGGGCGCCTGGGTGGCTCAGTTGGTTAAGCGACTGCCTTCGGCTCAGGTCATGATCCTGGAGTCCCGGGATCGAGTCCCGCATCAGGCTCCCTGCTCGACAGGGAGTCTGCTTCTCCCTCTGACCCTCTTCCCTCTCATGCTCTCTGTCTCTCATTCTCTCTGTCTCAAATAAATAAA